TTTCAACTCTTGGGAGCAGGGCCAATGTGTAAAGTTAGAATATAACAAATCAAATTTCCAAGGGGAATGAAAACAATATGGGTACTCATGCTTAGTGCATCTGATAGGCTCTGAGCAGAGTTTATATTTCAGCACATTTTTAAAGTGAATTTGAGTCTTTAAATAATTTCCATCATTTCCCAGACACACATTCTGCATCAAAAAATATTTGCCAATGCCCCAACTTAAGCAATACTGCAACAGTCCAAGAACATTAAAAATCCTTTCAAATTCATATTCAAGTAGAAAAATGATTAAGCAAAATGCTTCATAAAGAAAGAGGAGAATGGCTGGGTGCAGTGGCTCACGCCTATAATCCCAGCACTTTGGAAGGCCGAGGCGGGTAGAACTCCAGGTCAAGAGTTCGAGACCATCCTGGCCAACACAGTGAAACTCCATCTCTACTGAAAATACAAAAATTAGCTGAGCGTGGTAGCACACACCTGTAGTCCTAGCTACTCAGGAGGCTGAGGCAGGAGAATCACTTGAACCCGGGAGGCGGAGGTTGCAGTGAGCCGAGATTGTGCCATTGCACTCCAGCCTGGCAACAGAGCGAGACTCCATCTCAAAAAAAAGAAAAAAGAATTTAAAAAAATCTAAATGGTCCTGTATCATGTGTGACTTCACTGAACTGCCATGGAGGTAGCAAGCTGCAGAGTCCAGATTTGGCTACAGTTTTCACCACTCTCAAACCGCCTTCCTATGCTGAACGTCATAGTCTCCGTGGTGCTTTCAATTTTAGTGTGCAGTTTTCCTACCACTGAATTTTGCGATCCCTTTCTCTTAAATCTATAAACAACTGTGTAAAATGCATGATAGAATCCAGGGATGAAAATGCTAAGCACTAAACAAACTAATGTTTTGGCAGTTATGGAGAATGGATACTCCAGTGTCTCCTAGAGAATACAGTTGTCCATCAAAAGCCAAATGGTTAGCAATCGTACACCCATTTAACTTATGAGCAATCAACAGAAATCTAAAAATGTAATACAATACATTAACAGAAGGGGAAAAACGATATAATCATGTCAGTTGCAGAAAAAGCATTTGACAAAATTCAAGATCCTTTCATGATAAAAACTCTTAATAAATGAGGCATAGAAAGAACCTTAACACAACAGAGGAGGTATGTGACAAAACCAAAGCTAACCTCATACTCAGTGAAAAGTTGAAAGCTTTTCTTCAGGAATAAGACAAGGATGTGCACTCTGACCACCATTCAACATAGTATTAGAAGTCCCAGTCACAGCAATTAGGTAACAGAAAGAAAGAAAAGGCATCCAAATAGGAAAGGATGAAGTTAAACGGTCCCTGTTTACAGACAATATAAACGTAAACATAGAAAACCCTAAATACTCCACCAATAAACTAATAAACGAATTTGGTAATGTTGCAGGGTACAAAGTCAATATACAAAAATCATTAGAACACACCAACAACAAGCTATCTGTAAATGAAGTCAAGAAAATAATCCCATTCACAATAGCCACACCAAAAATAAATACTTAGGAACAAATTCAACCAAGGAAGCTGAAGACCAGTATGCTGAAAACTATAAAGCATTAAGAAGAAAAGGGAAGAAGATGTAAATAAATAGAAAGATAATCCATGTTCAAGGGTTGGAAGAATACTATCAAAATGTCCACTCAAAGTGAGTGAAATGCAATCTCTATCAAAATTCCAAAGACATTTTTCACAGACATAGAAAAAACAATGATAAAACGTTCATAAAAACACAAAACATCACAAATAGCCAAAGCAATCCTGAGCAAAAAGAACAATGCTGGAGGCATCACAATACCTCATTTCAAAATATACTACAAAGCTATAGCAATGTAAACAGCATGGCACTGGCATAAAAACAGATACACAGACCAACAGAATAGATTTGAGAGCCCAGAAATAAGCCTGTGCATTTACAGTCAATTGATTTTCAAGGAAGGTGCCAAAAAGACACAATGAGGGAAAAAAGTCTCATCAATAAATGGTGTTGTGAAAACTGGATAGCCACATACAGAAGAATGAAATTAGACCCCATCTCACACTATTATGAAGAAATTAACTTTCACTTGAAGCCAGGAGTTTGAGACTAGCCTGGGCAACCAAGCAAGACCCTATCCCTACAAAAAATTTAAAAGTTAGCTGGTCCTGTTGGCATGAGCCCGTAGTCCCAGCAACTCAGGAGGTTGAGGTGGGAAAATCATGTGAGCCCAAGAGTTCGAGGCTACAGTGAGCTATGATCGCACCACTGCATGCCAGCTTGGGCAACAGCATGTCTCAATAAAAAAAAAATAAATGAATTCAAAATGGATTAAAGTCTTAAATGTAAGACTTGCAACTGTAAAACTATAAGAAAGAAAATTAGAGGGAAAACTCCATGACACTAGTATAGATAATGATTTTTTGGATATGACCCCAAAAGAACAGGCAACAAAAACAGACAAATGGAATTACATCAAACTAAAAAGCTCTTGCACAGTGAAGGAAACAATCAGCATAGTACAGAGACAACCTACAAAATGAGAAAAAATATTTCCAAACCATGTATCTGATAAGCAGTTAGTATCCAACATGCTACATAAGGAACTCAAACAACTCAATAGCAAGAAGACAAACAATCCAACTTGAAAATGAACAAAGGACCTGAATAGACATTTCTCAAAAGAAGACATACAGATGGCCAATAGGTATATTTAAAAACGCTCGACAGCACTAATCCTCAAAGAAATGCAAATTAAAATGACACCGGTTAGAACGGCTATTGTCAAAAAGACAAAACAAGTGCTGGCAAAGAGGTGGAGGGAAGGGAACCCTTGCACACTGTTAGTGGGAATGTGAATTAACACAGCCATTAAGGAAATAGAGGTTCCTTAGAATATTAAAAATAGAACTACCATATGATCCAGCAATTCTGGTTGCTGGATATATATCCAAAGGAAGTGAAAACAGTAAGTCAAAGAGATCTCCGTACTCCTAGGTTCGATGCAATGTTATTCGCAACAGCCAAGATACAGAATCAACAGATAAATGGATAAAGATAATGTGGCATATACGCACAAAGGAATACTATTCAGTCTTAAAAAAAAAAAAAAAAAAAAGAAGAAGAAAATCCTGTCATTTACAACATGTTTGAACCTACAGGGCATTATGGTAAGTGAAATAAACCAGGCACAGAAAGACAAATGTTGCATGATCTCACTTAAATGCAGAATCTAAAAAAGTTGAGCTCATAGAAGTAGAGAGTAAAATGGTGGTCACCAGCAGCTGGCGGAGCAGGATGGCAAAGAATACAAAACTTCAGTTAGATGGAAGAAATAAGTTCAGAGCTCCACTGTACAACAGTGACTTCAGTTAGTGATGTCTTGAAAATCACTGAGAGAATAGATTTGAAGTGTTCTCACCACAGAAAATAATTATGTGAGGTAATACATGTTAGTTACCTCCACAGAGCCATTCCACAATGCATAGATATTTCAAAAATCATATTATACCTGATAAACATACATAACTTTGTCCATTTAAAAAAATAAAATCAAATTTAAAAAAAAAAAAAATCAGGCCAGGCGCAGTGGCTCATGCCTGTAATCCTAACACTTTGGGAGGATGAGTTGCGCAGGTCACTTGAGGTCAGGAGTTCGAGACCAGCCTGGCCAACATTACAAGACCCTGTCTCTACTAAAAAAACAAAAATTAGCTGGGCATGGTGGCATGCGCTTGTAATCCCAGCTACTCAGGTGGATGAGGCAGGAGAACTGCTTTAACCCAGGAAGCAAAGGTTGCAGGAAGCCAAGATCATGGCACTGCACTCCAGCCTGGGTTACAGAGCAAGACTCTGTCTCAAGAAAAGAAAAGAAATATCAATCACACACTCTTGGCCAAAAAGGCGAGAACAAAAGAACAATTTTAAGCCTTTGCCTCTCTCAAAATGTGGCCAGAGCCATGCTGGCATCCCCTGCTTAGAGAGCAGACTATTAATGGGGCCGGGCGCGGTGGCTCACACCTGTAATCCCAGCACTTTGGGAGGCCAAGACGGGCAGATTACCTGAGATAAGGAGTTTGAGACCAGCCTGGCCAGTGAAACCATCGCTACTAAAAATACAAAAATTAGCTGGGTGTGGCGGCATGTGCCTGTAGTCCAAGCTACTCAGGAGGCTGAGGCAGGAGAACTGCTTGGACCATGGGAAGGGAGGACAGACGTTGCAGTGAGCCAAGATTGTGCCACAGCACTCCAGCCTGGGCAACAGAGCAAGACTCTGTCTCAAAAAAAAAAAAAAAAGAAAGAAAATAGACTATCAGGCCAACCCCAGACCTCCTGAATTTGAATCTGCATTTTATCAAGATCCCCCCATGATTCCTATACACAATACAGTTTGGCCTGAATGATATCTCCCATCATTCCACTCCACCGGCATATGACCCAGAGTATGCATGAGATGGGTGACACTGACCTGTAATTCCTTTGGTGGGTCTCAGTTCTCACCTGCCTTGCACATTACTGATTGAGATCCTAAAGTTTAAAGGGTAATTTGGACTATGCACCTAAAACGTGACTTCACTGTTCTGTCCTGGGGCTGACCCTGAGCTACTAACCTAACAACTGGCTTGATTTAACCAAGGGCTCACATCTTTGCATTAAAAACTGTGAGTACATTAATAGCACAGGCAAGCTCAATAAAGGCTGAGCATCAAGTTGTCAGCCACTAGCACGCTGCCACAGGTCAGCCGTAACTCAGGCTGCAGGGAGAAGAGAGCTTTTGGGTCACAGAAAGATACACACCGAGTGGTGATGTGGAATATAATCCTTTAAGGTCAAGGTGGCTTTCCTTCAAGCAATCTTGCCATCCAATTCATTCATTCTGCAAAGTTTTAAATTCTGTAAGTAAATTTCTATTACCCAGGAGTGTCCTATACTTTAATCACTCATTTAGGGAAATCTTGAACATCTGTTGGCGTCAGCTTACCTGTGCACATCTTCCTAGTTCTTTCCTGTCCAAATACTGAAATATATTGATTGCCAATTCGTAAGGCAGTTGGATATCAAAGAAGGGCACATCATTCATTTCATTCTGTGGGGGACAAAAAAGGAAATAAGTTTACAATTCTTAGATATGGAAATAACTCAAATGTACAGGCCCTTTAAATGACCAGAGATATCCTTAGGTGGTGACAAGACAGTTGAGGCTGTTTCCCAGGAGGTAGGCATCCGCACTGTTTCACCAGGCAGTCATGGAACTATTGCAGAACCTGCCAGCCATCCACCATTCTCAGACTCCCACACGTCTCCACTCCTCATATCTACTTATGAAACTTGTATGCCCATTTCCCATCGTGCTTCACAGAGCAGCAGGGGTGCTATCTTCCAGCCTTGTGTATGGCACAGCAATCAGTGCCAAGGTCTGTGGAGAGGCTCCTGACCTCTAAGGAAAGGTAAGCAGCAAGCAGCCAAGAAAGTGAGCCTTGAAATCAGGGAAGCCACCCCTCCTCCCGGGGCAACCGCCACTATTCCCAAGTAGGAAGGGAGTGGGTACCCACAGCTAGAGAAAAGCTGCTTTAGGTCACTAAGGGGTTTTCACTGGGAAAAGAATAGGGCTACAAACGAGAGCAAAAAGTAAACAAGCGGAACACTGCTCTTGATCACAGTGAACGCCACCTCTCCTTGACCACTGGCAAAGTGCAAGGTTTCCCAATGTTCTCAGGGGCTTACACTGGTTAACCTGAGCGAGCCAGGGCAAACAAAGCAGTTCTTCTTCGGTGTCATTTATTAATGCAGAGAAATCAGAGCTCGCCTGCCTTTGGATAAGCAATTAGAGATGAGGTAACAGGCTTTACTTGAGAGATAAGGCTGTCATGACGATCCTGGTAGCACAAAGAAATATGAGTGTGAAACAGAAAAAAAGCCAAATGTACGTAAGTACCCCTCTGCCTGTTCCCAATCCACCTGCCAAAGCTCACTTTGGTATGTGCTTCTGCAAAGCTAGGAAAAGCTGTGCTCTTTGTCCCAATAGCATTCGCTTAATAAAATCCATTTTTAATAAGCTTTGGCTGACATCAGTGACTTAGTGCTTGCAAGCAAATTGTTAATTCACCACTCAAACGCAGCAGTCTTACATACTGCAAGGCTGCTGTCTCAAAACAAAAATCGCCTCATTGTTTTTAAGGGAGTGTAAGCACTGATTTAGACCCTACCAAGACTCTGGAATGAAATTTCTGTTCATCTAGGGGTCTCGGGACTAAAAGATATCCCAGAGCATAAAAAGGAAATGCAGTATTTAACTGTAAAAACAGTGCAAAGGATGAAGGCCAAAAGGGTTCTCTGGAGGAAAAAAAGAGTAAGAGTTGACAGCTCTCTGTGGGCAAAGAGAAGGAACAGAATGTTAAATCAAGAGAAATTTTGGCCGTACAGAAAAACACAGGAAAAAAAATCTGCAAGTGTAATTAGAAGGCTCAGGGGTTCGTGCCTAAAAAAATAAAGGAAAGTCATTGGTTTAATGTCAGGCTCCTTCCCCTCCCACAACTAATCGGTTTCACTCATCAGGAAAAAGAGGCATCACTTTCTCTCTCGGCCTAGATACAACTTGAGACTCCTCAAATCAACACTGGAGGGAGTCACTGTTTGTTTGCCAAGGAAAGCAGCACTCAAGATGAAACTTTCCTTTGCAATTGTGGTCCTCCTCCTACTTTCTTTTTAGGATTTTGACTTTGTGGAGAGGACTACTTTACCTACTTGGTAAAAAAATAAGAGAAAAATGTTCCTTATCCTCATACAAATAAAGCCAAAGAAAAGCCTGTGTTCACTGAATCTGAAGTCTCGTTTAGCCTTTCCCTCTTAGAGACTTGCCAGGCATTGCTTTCTTCAATTTAGGACTGACTATGAACTGGTTTTTGGGCTTGACACTACTCCACAGAGGCACAGGACATCATCATCTTTGTTTTTAGCTATTCTGATGCAGAAAAGTCACACTTCTGGTAACAGGAGCCTTCCAGTTTTGTTGTTGTTGTTGTTTTGTTTTGTTTTGAGACGGCCTTGCTCTGCTGCCCAGGCTGGAGTGCAATGGCGTGATCTCAGCTCACTGCAACCTCCCAGGTTCAAGCGATCCTCCTGCCTCAGCCTCCCAAGTAGCTGGGATTACGGGTGCCTGCCACCACACCTGGCTAATTTTTGTATTGTTTTTAGTAGAGATGGGGTTTCACCATGCTAGCCAGTCTGGTCTCAAACTCCCGACCTCAGGCAGTCTGACTGCCTCGGCCTCCCAAAGTGCTGAGATTACAGGTGTGAGCCACAGTGCCCAGCCCAAGCCTTCCATCTTTTGTCTACTCAGTTGGCTTAGCCTCTACCCTCATCCTGGGAGACAATGCCTGTACCTTGGCACACCCTAGCCCTGCCAGGGATCCTTGATACCAACCACCATAATCTCTTGGATGCAACACAGCTTGGAGGTTCAGAGCAAAGACTCAAACTGATAAACCTGTTCGGCCACCTTACCAACAAGCAACCAGGCTAAGTGCATCTGTGCTTCCTCATCTGCAAAACAGATATAACCACTCTATGAAATAGGTATGCTATTAAGAATAAAAATGAGACCCATGCTGGTCTCATTGTTAATGCATGCAGTATGATGGTTCTTGATCATTTAAAAGTTCTGAAGGGCAACCACTGTTTCAAAGCATTGAATTGAAATTCTGTGAAAGGCATTACACAGCCAAACTTAAAACAAAAACAAAACAGTGCCCTCAAAATTACGATCTAAACTCCAAAAGAGATCAAGTCCTGGACTTTCATGTAGATGACCTTCTGTGGCTAACCACTGGAAAATGGCAGGGGAAAAAACAGAAACCAATACACTAAAGGAAGGTCCACATCTTAGAAAATATGTAGACCCCACCCCCCACACCAAAGGTGAGGAGATCAAATGCTCAAGTTTCATGCTGCACACTTAGAATAATTCCAGCAAGACATTCTATCAATGGTCCTTGTCATAGATACTGCCGTGGGTCACTCAGATGCCCCCTTCGGGTCCCCCTCATTCCCCTAGATGAAAATGCTGCCTGCTGTTGAATCATAGCTGAGTCCATTCCTAGGCAATGCCTTTGGCCAAACGAGCTGCCTCACCCAAGTTGCAACCCCTCCAACCCTCTAGGGCAGCCTGCATCCAATGACTAGTCCATGGCTGGGTACAAAGGCCTGGCCCCCTTGCTCAGTTCAGGACCTCTCTGAACAGAAAACCCGCTAAACCACCTACATGCAAATCTCCATCTCAGAGTGTAGTTTTTGAAAAGCAATAGACATGACTCATGATAGTCCTGTGTTCAATATATTCCCAAGGGTTCTGTTGCACACCTGCAGAGACATTAGTCCAGGTAAGCTAATTCCCTCTCCCCTACTCAAGGAGGGTACTAGAATGCAGGTGAGTGACGTCACTACACCAGCCAACCAACAAACCAGAGTAAATTCAAGGTTAAGTAACTGATTCATCAACTTCGGTTTGTTATTATTGGAAATATCATTTGGGAAACACCTTACGAGAGGCAGAGCCGTGAGCATATTTGGCCCTGTGGCTGAAAACACACCTCATTTATAGGTGTGGATGATTTGACAAGGATATGAAGCCACATCCTGGACAAAAGCTGTGGCCTAGTAACCACATAAATCCTGCTACTGTAGCGGCAGCAGAATGTCTTAGGCACTCTGATTGGGTACTTCCCACAGTTCATAAATGTAGGTTAAAAATACTACTTGCTACTAGTGTGCAGAGAAATACTCTCTTATCTAAAAGATGCTATCAGCCAGAGGTTGGTTAACGGACATAGAAGTGCAGCTAGACAGGAGGCGTGAGTTCTGGTGTTCTGTAGCACTACAGGGTGACTATAATTCAAAACAATTTAGTGCATATTTTCAAATAGCTAGAAGAGCAAATTTTGAATGTTTACAACACAAATAATAACTGTTTTAGGTGTCAATTACCCTGATTTGGTCCATATACATTGTATATATGTATCACACTGTGCCCCATAAATATGTACAACTATAATGCATCAATTAAAAATAAAAAATAAATAAAAGGTGCTATCGGTCTTCCGCCTAGACTACTACGAAGCACACAGCCATCCAAAAAGTTTTGGGTCACATTAACCCAACTCTATACTGACTTAAAAACATGAAAATGGACATCCTGGCATTTTGGAAACAAAGATATTCCAACAAGAAGGAAAAGGAATTAAAGACACTGGAAATATGAATATAGGGAAATTTGGTCAAACTATAAAAATATCAATGTGGCTACAATGTTTAGAGAAAATAATTTTGCAGTAGTGCTCCCAGCAATGTGAGACTAGCCAAATTTATTCTATAGGAGACCAATAAATTCAAAATATTAGTATTCCTTCAATGTTAGGTAAAGTATCAGTTTGATAACATACAACTTGCTTTTAGTTCTCTGACAATGGCTCAGACATTGATTCTGTATCACTACTGCAGACTTTTGCCCTGTATTATACATCAAAATCACCTGTGGAATTAAAAAAAAAAAATGCCCAGGGCCCTACCCAGACCTACTGCCCTGCATTTCCAGGGATAGGACTAATGCACCGTTTTTTCTTTTTTTTGAGACAGAGTCTCACTCTGTTGCCCAGGCTAGAGTGCAGTGACATGATCTTGGCTCAATGAAATCTTCACCTCCCACTTTCAACTGATTCTTGTGTCTCAGCCTCACAAGTAGCTGAGATTACAGGCACACATCACCACACCTAGCTAATTTTTGTAGTTTTTAATAGAGACAGGGTTTTGCCATGTTGGCCAGGCTGGTCTCGAACTCCTGGCCTCAAGTGATCCCCCCGACCTTGGCCTCCCAGAGTGCTGGGATTACAGGCATGAACCACTGCACCCCACCTCAAGTACCTCTTTCTCCGGCAATCCTCATGCACATTAAAAGTTGAGAACACAACCCTACATCATAGGCAGATATAAAAATCTATCCATCCCCTCTTTCCTAATCAAGGGGGAAAAAAAAAACTACAAAGGGGTCATATTACTTGGTTAACTTAAAGTCAGTGAATACTAGATTTTCCC